TAACATTTATCTATTTGAACCAAAGGCAGTGATGGGAAGTTGTTACTTTGATGGCTTGGTTAATTCCTAAATTAACTACTTTTTTTCCTTCTTGAAAAGACTCAACTTCTAACATTAAATTTCTTTTTCCTTTTTAATACTCTTACCCTAACAAAACTGAACTCATTTTTTGATATAAACCTTATCTAACAATGCTAATTTTCATTTTCATAAAATTTTACCAACTTGCATGATAATACAAACCAATTTTGATTAGAAAAATAATATGCAAGGGAAGATGATTCCTACTTTTTTCAAATCAGAGCATAATGTGCAAAGTTTAAGCATTAATTGCATATAATTAAATAGAAATTAGTTTTATCTTCACATCAAATTTGGATTTATGTGAATGCCTCTACACAAATTTTCATTTTTAAACTACAGGTGGTGGACTTCAAATCATCTCCCAAATGATGAGTTTAAGTTATTTTCCAATTTCGCTATCAATAATAAAATCTATCACCTTCAACAGAATTCGCTTAGGAAGCTCAATAATTGTATATCTTAATAAATAAATTATGCTCTCGTAACAGAATTTTCTTTCCTTTTTGTATTGGTCACATGGATTCCAAAACAATAAATATGCAGTTTTACACTTAAGTTAAAAAGTTAATTTTCATGTAAATGCATGATATCTTAAAAATGTTAATATTTATGAAACCTACTCTAACAAAAAAATGGCACATACCAAATATTTTGTAGCAAAAATTAAAATAATTTCAGCCGTAATGCTAACATCTTAAAATATATATATATAATTATGCTGCCGAGAAAAACAGAAAAACACTGCGACCTTAATATTTATTTTAAAAACTCAAGATTATTGCTCTATAGTTTTAAGTTTAGGATTTTACAGCCACATCTGCAAACACAACTTCAAATTTTTCAACAAAATATTTAAATTGCATAAAATAGCATACGAACAACCACCACTGCAGACTACATATATCTTTGATGCATTAAAAACTGGAAACTAGCTCATATTTGAATGTTCTAGAGGTACTGTATGAAAAATGCAAGATTTGCCTGCCTTAAGAACACACTTAAAATAACACTATGCCCTTTTTAGGGATTCACTTTGATTAAATTTTAGACCAACAGCCATCTAAGAATTTGGTGAACCATAACACATGACAAGGTCATATTAAACTTTCCAAGAACCTTTAAAAGCCATATTAGGGTTAGAATTTGCATGCAGAACTGAGACAACAGGCACTCTTAAATGCTAATGAATGGTATGACTAATGAAGTGGCAGCAGTGATTAAAAAATGCTGTAGAAGTAACTGCCAAGCAGATATGATTAAAAACAAAATACAATTAAAGTAAATTTTACAGGTACAGTAAAAGATCTAACAAGTTTGACCCTGTTTCTAAGCTTTTATATATATATATATGAAGGTTTTAAAAACAATTCCATTTTTCCAAGAGCATTTCTTATCTTTTATTTCTTTTGATGCTTTTAATGAAACCTAAGCTTTATCTTAAAATTTTGTCAATGTTTAATGAGAATTTATTTTCTAGTTATGAAGATAAAACAAACAAGCCAAAATAATTGCTATACTGCACTTTGCATTACATAATTTCAAAAATCAGCTCTTGTAAAATGATGCAGGTAGTGGTGACAAAGCATTTCAAGTACACTACTTTACAACTTAGAAGATTTGTAATTAACTTACATATCTCAAAAGTTGAAGAGTCCACTGATTATGTGACAAGTTGATAATAGAGGTAACAATATGTTTTTCTATAAAAAAGGATGTTACTTCATTAAGATAGATGAATAGAAAAATTGATATATGAAGAACTTTAAGATAATCCTTTGACACCTCAAGAATATATTGAAGTTAAAAACTTCCAACATAATATTTGTCAAAAAACCACAATTAATGAATTTGCAATTGTTTAGTTTACACAGACATTATTTAAAAGAATATTCAGAAAATATATGAGAAGAAAGCTTTTCCTTTATTCGTGTAACACGCAGCAGAAGAGTTTGCAATGTTTAAAAAGTTTTTGGATAGGTATGTATTCAAGGAAGCCATCACTTTCCAATTCATTGCTTTGATAAAATTAAATTTTATATTCTTGCAAATCATTTCATATTCAAGTTCATAGCATCTACATTTTTTTATTTCATCTAAAAATACTTATTAGAAAGTTTGAGAGCTACTCTATATAACTTTAGAGGTGCAGTTTTAGAAATTCTAAAAATTGCATTCCAAATTCAGAGTTATAGTCTGAAAATTACATTAATGGATTTTTTGTTACTATTTCAAGATTAAAATCGAATACCTTGTAATACACATAATTTATAATATTTTTCATGTCAAGTTCTTATGAAATATGTACTTCCATGGGGGAAATCAACCCTAAAATTTAGTATTTTGATACAATTGATCCCTCGAACAAAAGTTTCATGCCCAACTAATTTTCTTTACTTGTACTATGATTTGATGCAAAGTTAAGTTTCTAATTGAGGGGAAAATATGAGAAGCACATAAAAACTGACATTCACATTGTGTAAAAGTTTAATTAGGCACTGCATTTGATTACCCATATCACACAAATATAAGTTAATAAAAATTATTTATATCTGTATGATGCTGATAATAAATCAGCCCTTTCAGTCCATTAACAGTAGGCTGCATAATGCAACATTTACCTAGCTTTGTACAGATGTTTATCATTAACATATGAACTGTTTTATCCCATTTTAATATCACAGAAACAAAACAAATTCTGAACAGAAAATAAAGTTTAATATTTGCTTATTTTAAATATGAAGCTCTAAAACACTTTCCAGCCAAACGTTTCATATGAGCTATGACATGTTTTTCATTCATTCATCACAATTGTACTGTTATTTGCATATTTTTTTCACACAAAAACCACTTGCAAAGATGACAATTTTAATGTACTGTTTGAAAGTTTTGCAAATATCTGTACATCATGATAGTTTTGGACAAACTACAAAGTATGTAAATGAATAATGCATAAAATTTCATAGAATGAGAGGTAATGTAAGAGTTCAGAGACCAAATGAGGCATTATCTATAAAACAGATACCACATACCAGCAATGTAAATTCTACAGCATGATTTGTAAAAAATCTAAGCTTCCAAAGGCTTTAAAACATGTACAAACAGGATGGATTATCAGTAAATATATCACTTACAATGCTCTGTTGTGTTATGAAAATAATAATGAATATATGCTGCTTAAGTTATTCCAAGAATGCATTCTGCAAAAGTTACCTGGAAAAAGCTATTTGAACTGATAATGAATGCAAAATTATAACCTTTAACACTGCATTAGATTTCATTTAAAATATTTTCATTAACTTAACAAGGAAGAGGTCTAACAGAAAAAACTATACTTTCTTAACATTAAAGGGGGGAAAGGTTAAATATGAAGACTGATTTGTCAGCTCATTTCTATCTACTATCTCACGTAAATCTGATCTTCCAAATTTATATTATTAAATCTCAAATATTAAAAGGGTCACAGAGCAAGACTACCTCACAGGAGGAAAAAGACAAGGAAAACACTTTTCATAAAACTTGCAATGCTCATGGTTTAAAAGTGATTCCATTTACTGATAGTGTTAAAAATACAATATGATAATAGAATATTTAAAATATTCATTTTCCTTCTGTTCTAAGTATGAGTTTATAAAACAAATGCAAAAATGAATAACCTGAAGAAATTAAATAAGAGATCAGTTTTACTGAAGTGTTTTGTTACAGAATTGCATACTAACTTGAAACTACAATTCATACTTGGTTAAAAAAAATCAATACCTAAGTATCCCATCATATGAAAATATTTAATCTCGCCCAACATTAAATTATTGAAAATGTTAAAAATCTAAAGTTTACAGATTTTAATCTAAGAATAAATACTGGATTTCTTCAGTAGTTAGAAATATAGAATAAGCTTATGAAATAATGCACTATTTGTGCTATTATTCATTATCTTAAATATTCATATTATAAAACAATATTTCAAGTCTGAACATTATATACATTCCAACCCATACAAATATTCAGCACTTCTATTAAGTGCGGCAAACAGCATTCTTCATAATTTAAAACTTTAACAAAACTTAAAAATCACATCAAATACAAATTAAATCAGTAATGAAGTCTTCTAAAGCACATTAATACAGTCATGAAAAATCATATGAAAACTAATCAAATAAAAGGGATATATGTTGATAAAAAAGTCTTTTTATTAACAATTGTGATACACAAGCTCCCGTAATGACAGCTTGCTATTCAAAAATGATGAACTGTGATATCATTAAGCAATGGACTTAAAAAGCAATGACACTTTCACTAAACCAAAACCCAAACCAGGAACCTACTACTATTAATTCTTTCCATTAAGGGAATGAAAAAATCATACAAAGGACTGAAATCTCATAAGAAAAGCACTGAGATAAAACAAATATAAAAATAAATAGGAAAATAATCACACAACTTGGGATCAAGAACAAAATTATTCTTTAAGGAAACTAACTAATGGATCAGTTCAAAATAAGTAATATTAGCATGAAATTTTCAAATAAGCAATATCTACATGATTTCACTGGTAATTTTATACATGTTAAATCAAATCAATGAACACCTTTTTATGTTACAAATGTAATTAAAAAAAGTATATTACAAAATCACGAATGAAATCTGTATGATTTGTGCAGTGATTGCAAAGGGATCCTGACCAGGCTTGTGGGTTTATACTACTAGGCACGACTCAAAGCAGACTGCATAGACTGCTGTCCACTTCCATCATTTGGTCTCAATCGCTGGGGGTCTTTTATGTTTTGCAGTCCAGAAATGCTGATTGAGAACAGCAAAACATAAAGGAAAGATGATATAAAGTATGCTGTACATATTATCACTCTACATGTTAAGATGAATAGATGAAGCAATGTTGTTGGAAAGTTTTTATTTTCTTTTTAATCTTCATCGTCGTCATCACCATCTCTTTTCCTCTTCTGGCCATGAGGACCTTCACCTATTATTAAAATACATTCATATTAAAAATTAATTAAATATGACTAATATACCAACAAATTTATTACACAGCTGCTAATCATGAAATATATGAAAAGGGCACATTCGAAAAAAAAAAAAAAGTCGAGAGGTTTCTCCTATAGCATGCCAAAATGATTTCAAAAGAACTCCAAACTTCAATTTTTTTCTACTATGCATGATTCGAATTACTGAACTTATTACATTTTTCGAATACAAAATATACTTGTATTTAACTATCTGTATGATTTTTCTAAATTTTCTGTTCTTTGGCTACTTTTTTCCCTTACATTTTTATTAGACTGAATGAAGAAAATCTTTTATTTTAAAGTACTTTTAATAGTATTTGAAAGTAATTTTTCAAATATGATAAAAATAAAATACTTAATGTACGTACTGTGTAGCTTAGGGGTTCTCAGCCAGTGGTATGCAAAGAAGCAAAGTATTTTTAAGTATTGAATTCAAAAATTGAAACCCCAACATCCTAACAGAGTTATTTTCTCCAACACTCCACTCGTAAATTTATGCAATCTGAGCTTTGTTCAAGAGTGGTGGTGGTAGAAGTACTTTGTAGTGGTGGTACTAAAGGTTTTCAATTTTTGTTTAGATGGTACACGTTAGTCAAAAGGTTGAGAACCACTGGTGTAGCTTAAGCTAGTAATGTACCATAAACTGAGGTAAAAATTATATACAAACATTAATTCATTAAACGTTGGTTAAAATTTCAAAAAATTTCTACAATATCTACATTAGATAAACACAATTCAGATCAAATAAAATTTAACATGAAAATTAAGCTAAAAATCACTATTCAAGTTTCATTTGATTCAATAAATCATGAAAAATCGAGTCTTGTGGTAAAACTTGTCAAATTGGCAGTTAGGTTATTAAAAGATTGAATACATTAATACACTGGATAATGTACCTTCATGTTGTTTGCAGATTGAAAATTTTGGTAGTCACAGTCTCCCTGCTATACTGATATAAAACAAGGCAACAATTTAATAGAAAAGTGAAGAGGGGAAATGCAATTTTACTAATACTTAATTCCTAATAGCACGACAGCCTTTATCCAGTCATATGATTTTTTTTTTTTGCCTCTTTGGTATACATTAGTTTATAATTTAAAATATTTTCCTTTCTTACTTTTTTAATAATGTAAATATAATCTTATGAACAAAAGTTTATGAAAACAGACTAAAATAAATAATTATACAAATTTAGCTATTAAATGCGGTTTTGCAAGACAGGTTTTAATAAACAGATCTATAAATGTTCCATTACTTTACTCTTATGCTGAAGATTCTGATTGGTTAAGATCTTGAGCAATGATAAAATAAATGTATATATTGGGACAGAAAGTTTACCCTGTAAACAAAATTAATAATGCATTATTTGAGTAAGATATGAAAAGGCACTTAATCAGGTTTTTTTTTTTTTTTTTAAACTAATGTGAAACTGAAATGAAGTACTTTTCTCATGAATATAAAGTAAAGGAAGTGAATAAAAATCCACTCTGCTTACAAAAAACTCGCATCCACCAAACAAACAGGCATACTTGCCAACCTATGACACTCAAAATTCAGGAGATTTTTTTAAGAAATCAGGAGATTTTTCACAATGTTAAAAAGACTTTTTAAATGATAAAAATATAGTTTTTAATAATGAATTAACTTTAAATAGTTACTAAGTCTTAAATGCAAGCAAAACAAAAATACCTTAAACATAAAAAACATTTTTATTACTTTCATCGTTTAAAAAAAAAAAAAAGGCACTTTAATCAGTTTTCATACAAATGTTATGGACAGTGGCAGATTTTTCTCTCGTTAAGAAAGAAACTTCATAATTTTGTTCATAGCAATTGCCACGTAGGCCTGCTTTCGCTAATAAAAGTTTTGCTAATGTGTCATCACTAATATTAGATCTAAAATTTAGTCCTCGTTTTCGCACAACACTGAAAATCCTCTCACACTCCGCATTACTATGGGGAACTGTCAAGATGGCCAACATAGTTCTAGAGAGTTCACTATATTTTAAAATTCCATCAGCACCTTTCAATTTTCCAATTAACCTCCACTGGGTGTCAATCCTAGCTGATTTTATAACTTCATCCAAGTTTTCTAATTGTAAACTGCAAAATTGCGACTGCAGTATATCGGTAGCAACATCAATATCATCATCTTTCATGACTAAACGAAGTAACACAGGAAATCTATTCAAAAAGTACCTTATATAAAAAAAGATGCATTTGCTAGAGCAGAAACATCAGCAACTTTAGCATGCAAAATCACTTCATCGTTGACTGGAAATTTATGTAGTGTGTAATCACATACTCGACAGAAGTAACTTCTAACATGAAGATAAAACTTATTTTTGTCTTCTTCTGAAAGTTCTTCCACTACTTTTGTAGTTGCAGCTCCTATTACCAAATCTTCATCTTCCTTCTGACTATGCCTTAATGCGCTTTACGCCCATGTCTGAACGCAGCTTAAAGGATCAGTACCAAGAATACTGTTATTACTATCCTACAAAATTTATCATTTCCAGATATTTCAACACTTTAGAAACAGAAATTTTCTATTTATTTCCCTTCAATGGCATTTCTATTCACACAAACGTATATATAGTAATATGCATAAATTTAAATTCATATTTCCTGAATTTTTTTAAAAAAGCATATTTCATTACACTATGGGTTTGGTTTATAGTTACTGAGATTATGACAAAGCATACTAAGGCTATCTGCCTTAGGCAAGGAATGGCTTCGTGGAGAACTTTCTTAGGGAAACTTGTTCATATACAATGTTACAAAATGGGAAGCACCATGAAAATGCCCATGCAGCTATCCCATTCGCTTGGAATTGAACCCACATTGGAACTGCTAGTGTTCACCGACTTTACCACTTGGCTGCTGGTGGGTTTAATTAGACCATGGATTACTAGTTTTAAGTGTACACAGATAATTCTAATAAACAACTTTCATATGAAAACTAAATTTTTTTTCACTAAAAGGCCTTTTCATGGACCTAGATTCCACCTGAAGAACAATTTCAAAATTTTTTTAGACCTGTCCACTGAACTTACATGTTTTTAAAATCTAGACTACCATTTTTTGTTTGTGTTTACCCTATTAATGCACATAATGTTTAATTAACTCACTTCTGCAAGCTTATGTTATACATTTTGTGATGTAAGTGGAGTTTGTATATATTCAAATAAAAAAAAAATTGCTTTCTATCAAATGAAAAATGTGTTTGAAAACAATTCTGTTTATATGAAAATTTCCTTATCACAGCATCTAATGAATTATAACTAGGCAAAAGGTAAAATTCCTTAATTTTCAATTTTTCCCCCTCAAAAAGACAAATACATTTCTCCCATATTAATAAAATCCTAACAAACTATAAATCACCAAAGCATCCCACTATTAGCAGTGTATACCAAAATTTTCACACAGCATTAAAAAATTTATATAACTTACCCTCCTCTTCATACTCATCTCCTTCTGCATTAAATTCATTTCCTTCACTATCCTCCTAAAAGTTAAAAACAGAAGTTAAGTTTATAAATAAAAAAACACTGTCCCATAATTATTTTAAAGTGTAAAATACAATGAAGAGCCAAAACATTCCTTCAACACAATTCGAACCTTCTGGCATGGGGCTTGTCCTGATGGAAAACACCATTTCCAGTTAGGAAGACAGACACTATGAAAGGGTGCAACTGATCGACAATTATATTCAAATAGTCCGCAGCTGATCATGAGAACGTTCCCAAAGTATAATACTACCATCACCAGCCTATGTATGATCTGCTGCAGAGGTAGGATGCAGCTGTTTGCCTGGAAGATGTTGTATCCTGACATGATCACCGATGTGATGAATGAGAAATAATGGTTCATTCGACCAAGCAACTGTAGGTGTAGTTGGTCAACAGAGGCACATGAGTGGGATGGATGTCTGCTGTGCAGTCCCATATCCAACAATGTTCACTGAACTGTGTGGTCCAAAACACTTGCACCTGAACCTACACCATACCTGCCAACCTCTAAAGATAAAAATTCAGAAGATTTCTCCCCCAAATTCAGAAGATTTCTCCAAAATTCAGAAGAACACGAAGAATTAATATCATGCTTTGATATTTAAAAAAAAATATATATATATACGAATAGAAAAAAGAAAATTGTACTTACATTAGTAAATCTCAATTAAGTAGTAACTAAAAAATTTATTAGGAAACATAAAACAAGAACTTAATGTTACACAAAAAAAATTATTGCAACGAATTTAGAGAGCATTTTTTGGCTTTAGCCAAAAATTCTTTGGAAACAATTAGTTTCCTCATAACATTTAGCAATTAAAATGTTTTCTAGAGTTTTTGGTGAAATTGAAGAACGAAACATAGTTTTGTTTTCCTTCACAACACTGAAGACTCTCTCGCACTCAGCATTACTGTGTGGAATTACGAGAATAGCACATAAAGCTCTTGCTAGTCTATCATATTTTGGTGTTCCATCAGCTCTTTTTATTCTTTTTAAGGTACCAACGAGGACATCAAGTCTATCTTCTCCAGAACTGGCAAAGTCTTCAAACTGTGCAGCAGAAAATTGGTTTTGTAGTTCATCTAAAGCATCATTATGGCATTCATTTTCTTTGATTGTTAACAAAAATGGAAATTTATCAATAAAAAAACAAATCTTTTCAAACGATGAATTTTCAATTTGTTTCAAATTTGCCACTTCAGCATTTAAAAGAACTTCATTTTGCTAAGGAAACTTCCTTACAATGTAATCACAGGCTGAGAAAAAGTACTTTCTGACACATTGAAAAAATTATTTTTTCTCATGATCTTTCAAAGAATTTACAAGTTCCCTGGTTAGATATTTCTGAACAATCTTGGAGTCGGGAAACATCCGTCTGAAAAGTTGACCGGCGCAGCGCTTAGCGGCACGGTGTGTTCGATGAGGAATGCAGTAAACAAATACTCTGCCAAAATGACATCGGCATCCGAATTCGTAGCCGAATTTGAAAAAAAAAAAATCATCCACTTTCTTTGACGTTGTCGAAGCCGAAGCATTAACTTCATGCTTTTTAGACTTAACATGCTTCACAATGTCGCTTCTTCCACCGTGACTTATTATGAAGTCACACGTGCACACGTTGCAAAATGCAGTTATTTCCTTTGAAGGATTCTTTAATTGTTGGAAATTCGGCTTTGTAGGCAGGCCGAAAATATTGAGAATACGGTTTTTTTGAACTCATTTCGTAACAACGACGTATTAAGAAAATTTGTAGCACGTGCAAAAAACAAACAAACAACAACAACAACAAAAAATAAATAAATAAATAAAACAGAATCGGCAACGCTCGCTGAATCCTGAGTAATTTCCTTGCTGCTGAAGCGAATGCGAAAAAAATAATTGGCGCCACGAAGAAAAGAGTGGGAGAAAGTTCAGCGCATTGGATTGGCTGGTTTTTAGCGGCGAGTTGGGAGAAACCGCAGGTTACTGGATTCGAAGTAGTCGGTAGTTTAGTTGGCGGTAAAACACGATGCAATTGGCGAAAAATTCTAAAATTTCGACAAAAATCACTAAAAACACTTGAAAAAGGAAAAAAATCGTAAAAAATGGATTACGATCGTAAAATCGTAAAGACAAATGCATTTTCGTAAAAATTACGAAAAATTCGTACAAGTTGGCAGGTATGCTACACTGTATTAGGCTGTCAGATGAGCCACTGTGTAGTGCCAATTTTTCTGTACCAAGTGATACAATCTCTGACTGTCTTTTTCCTTTGATATGCATGGACATCCAACACTTTGGCATCCATCTACTGCTAGTTTCACCATCATTTATACACTTTGCATACGTACTAGCAATGGCAGATTGTGAAAAATCTACCAGAAGTGCAGTTTCAGTGATACTCGTTCCGAGTCTTCAAGCCATCACAATCTGCCTTCTATCAAATTTGCTTAGATCAGCAGCCTTTCCCAGCATTTGCAAAAGTTAAGTGCAAGAATGATACCTTACCTTCTCCAGCAGCAAATACCATTCCCACTTAATCACGTGCTCATTCAGACCAGAGTTCACTGAAAAACGTGGGGGATGGTCATAATGTTTTGGCTCGTCAGTGTAATCTATAATGATAAAAGATAGTTTGTCTGTAAAATCATTGTAATTTGTACTAATCTAATATTCTTAAGTTCATAACATTCAGCAGATGAGAAGGGAGGTTAAAATGTTTCAAAATTTGATTTAGATTTACTTTTTATCTAATGCTGGAGAATTTTCTGAATGGATTATTTGCATATATCTTATCTCAACAATCAGAACAACCATCACTGATTTAAAATGTCTGTACCATCCAAAGAAATTAGAAAAACAGCTTTTCAAATACATTTACTATGAATTCCTAATTGAAGTCATTTTATAATACTTCAATCATTGTATTTCAATATTTTAAAATTCCAACATAAGAAAATCTATTACTCATGTCTTGAAATTTTTATATGTTATAAAAATGACCCTTTGCCCTCTTTTAGAAGAGTAATAAAAATATTAATTAGTAAATACAAAAAATTTTTGCGGTTGAAACAATAGTGACTTCATCTGGAAACACATCACGTCAACCATTTCTTTGTTATGCTGGAAACATGTCTTATCCCATTACTATAAATTATATATTTCCTTGGGTTTCAACAATACAGCAGTTTCTCTAGGAATCTGATAAAAGGAAATAAAGGTAGTGAGTTAACATTTCACAAAAAGAGGTTTTACTAAATTTCTTTTTCTTAATACCTTGTTATACAGTTAATTCAAATTATTTTTCATATGCTAATACTTCTTCAACAAATGTGGAATCCATACCCAAACCACTTTCATTTTACATTGCTCATTTCCTACTACCTGTGTTACATACTGATTTGCTTCGATTACCACAATATCTCCAACAATCCAAATCATCTTCAGAAAATATACAGCGGCTGAGAATTCTTATTTAATATATGTGCACTATTAAAGCATTTCCAAGAAATGTTTTATTTTAGGGACATTTTCTTCTTTTCAAACCCATTCTTCAATTTATCTGCAGCTGAAGATTTGTGATTGACACTATTTTATAAAAACTACTACAACATAACTATCTTTCATATCAATTTATTCAAAAACACTGGCTACAGCTCAGCAACCAACATAAAACTTATAAAGCTACTATAATTTTGCAATTTTATTAACTTACAGGGTTTACTAGCACTGCGTCAGCTTGAAGGAGATATCTTGCATCATTAACTCAAATTTTTTTCTATCCCTCACACCCACAGTATATATTTAATTAGTGTTTGCATTGCTCTGCAAAAATAATATTTTCATGATGTTTATTCAGATCTCTACAAAGTATGCGATTAATAGCTCAAAAAAGCAAGGAACCCAAGTTGAGACCCAGAGCTTGATTAACAAGGAAGGGGGAAAATTTAATTCATTTTTCTCTCAGCATTAATATAATCCCCTTTTCTTGAATGATAAACACAAATATGTGTTAAATAAGTCTCACCTTAACAGTAACAAGTGTCTGCTTCATCTGAAGCAATACCTGCTGAATCACAAATTAGAAATAATGTTATTGCTCTACTAGGGCTGATAATAACAGATTCTAAGAATGACTAAACGAAATTTTCTCAAGGAGCATCAATTTGGATGCTTCTTTCAGCCCCCGAGATTGAATCGCCAATCAACTGAAATATCTCTCAAACATCTGGCTGCATGTTATTATACTTTGCAATGTAATTGTATATTAGCACAGTGCTGCATTCTTGCTCTCGTAACACATTCTTACATTATTCATTTTTAATGAGGTTTTTGAATTTGTGTTGTTTATTTAAAAATATATTCATTTCCTTTTTTTAATACAATGTTAATACTCTTTAATTTACTAAGTAATGAGGTGGATGCCATACATACATATTTTTAAGAAATAGGTCTTTTACCTGACATTAGTACATAAAAAAGGCCACAACATGAAACTGTTAATGATGAAACCATTCAGAAGTGGAATATTACAAATTGCTAAAAGAAGAAGAGCTTCTGTGTTGAAAATTGGTTCAGTGGTTCTAGAATACCGTTCGTCACAACTATTAGATTTATGTACTCTTAAGCAGAGGAGGCGACATTTGTGAAATGGTTAACTGTGTGAAAGTTAAACAGATTAATTGTGTGAAAGTGATACAGTTGACTGACAGTTGCATGCGATAAAATTAAAATAATAAGAATAAAGATTCTTAAAAATATTCTTAGGAAACAACATGACAGAATTATTGTTATTATTAGATACTGTGTAGCTCATTTTTATGTTCCAGCTACATGAGCTTGGTGAAATTATGGCAAAGATCTGGGTGCAAATCCTAAAATTGTCAAATATGGTTGGGGCCCATTATAGCAAAAAAAGAACCAGAATTTGTTAACAGATTAATTGTGTGAAAGTGATACAGTTGACTGACAGTTGCATGCGATAAAATTAAAATAATAAGAATAAAGATTCTTAAAAATATTCTTAGGAAACAACATGACAGAATTATTGTTATTATTAGATACTGTGTAGCTCATTTTTATGCTCCAGCTACATGAGCTTGGTGAAATTATGGCAAAGATCTGGGTGCAAATCCTAAAATTGTCAAATATGGTTGGGGCCCATTATAGCAAAAAAAGAACCAGAATTTGTAAAGAAATATAAAGAAAAGGTATTAAATAAAGGTTATATAACAGAAGTTTTTCATTGCAATAATGATGCCAAAATCATCAATCAACTAATGAATGGCAAAATCTGAAGTGTGGTCTAAATCCAGAAAATGCCTCTATTGATAGTGAAGAAAGTGACACAGAAGTTATTAATAACAAAGAATTTTGATTGACAATTTAGTGTGAATTCTCAACATGGCAATTACAGGACTTAAATGGAATTTTGAGCAAGAAATTATATCTGTCTGCAGAATTAAAGAAAAAAGTACTAGCACAAAAAAAGGAAGGAACTTAAACTTAAGTTGAAAGAAATGTTTAATAAAACAACCAAATAAATAATGAGCTTTTTAGCACATTTTGATCTCCTCAGTCACAAATGCTTCATTATTTCATAAACCACTATTTCACATTTTTAATTTTATAACTTCTACATGTTATCTTACTAAATTTAAACTAATAATCTAATATTCGCAAAAATCCCAAATCCGTTTCTCAGACTTCGTACTGTAATTCAAACAGAGGTTACTATTATTTTGAAAAGCAGAATAATACTTAAACTTACATCTTCTTCCCCATCCTCATCATCTAAATCATCATCATCTTCCTCTTCATCGTCAACATTTACATCATCATCATCATCTTGTTCATCTAATTAAAAAAAATACTAATACAAATGGGCATTTTACATCAGTAACATTCATGTCAGAAGCTGCTAACATATTTTATGAAGTAAATTTAACATATTGTTTAAACAGCAATTCTGTTTCAAAAAATAAACACTGAAGAAAAGAACTTTTCACACATTTCTGTTTCCAAAACAAACAATGAAGATAAGAATTTTTAACACAATTCTATTTCAAAACAATGAAGAAAAGAAATTGATTATCTATACAAACACTCCAAAAAGTTTATAAGAAGAGTCTGGTCTTTCATTATATAACAATACTAATAGCTATGAATATCTAGTTCTGGTAATTACAGGCATAGCCAAACTTCAAGTCTTTTAGCCTCTTAAATGACTTCGTTTTTGAAACACCATTACAATTTCAAATGGAAATCATACATAACATGCATTTTCAACAATCAATAATTCGATTTTTGAAGCACAAAATATAGAAAATAATTTTAAATTGTGCACTTATTTTCATAATAATAAACAATGAATAAGACTATTTGTGTGACTGAACACAATGACAGTTATACTTTCATAACAGGTATGGCCTATCTTGACAACAGAAATGCTAATAAGAGCCACCGTCTCCATTAATTCTAAACATCCTAGATTTTAAAATACCTTTTAGGCTGCTATCACACATCCATTTGTTTGAGAACAACTGTTTGGAAAAATTTTTCTGCTTTGTCACAACGGCCAATCACCACAGATCGCTTTGGGGTTAACACAGGGGAAACTGGTTCTTTATTACAAACAAGCTGGTAGCTAATTGGTTGAAAACAAACAACTTGCAATGTTTTCAAAAGGAAGAAAAAAATGGCGCGTCTTTCTTTCAATAGTAAACCAGGTTAAAAAACTGTCCAAAATAGTTGTTCGTGTGAAACAAATGCATGTGTGATATGGGTCTTATATTGTTGAGTGGCTGAATAATTTCTTTATCTCAAAGACAGTACACTCAATGACTTTAAATTGACAGATAAAAAGTAATCTTACCACAGCTAGAGACTACTTTTACAGAAAGCCACCGTGATAGATAACACACTATATTGATGATATGCATCAGATCTTACTGAATGATACATCTGTAAAGGTGCAGCAGAAGAAATAAAATATAGCTGATTATCCAGTTTGCAACTACACATCTAATCCAATTAATTCAGTGATTTAAGAAGTGCAGTTTATATCATGTTGGGCCTGCCATAGCAGTTTCTTTGCAGAATGCTTTATCTTGTATTACACTTTAGTCCACAAATGACAGCATACAAGTTTACAAAAAAAAAAAAAAAAAAAAAAAAAAAAAAAAAAAAAAAAAAAAAAAAACAGTCAAAGGTCGTTAATTCGGACACCCATAATCCCGACCTCAAAACTACAAACTTTCGTATTGACGCATGCGCGTAAGACCTTTACCGCTGCGAATTTGCGTGTGCGCAAAATACGTTTAGGAAAGCGCATTTAATGTATAACGGACGAGATAAGCTAAGCTAAAATTATCTAATTATCTATTTCAGTTAATGTTGCAGATTGCGTTGTTCCTTAATCTTCGAATTGGATCCGAATTATTATTTTTTGCAGACTGTTAGAGCAATTTTATAAAAGTAAGCTTGAACTTTCGATTACGTCAAATAGAATTTTCGATATATATTTACTAATATGTAAAGGATATACAAAGCGAAAGTATCTTTTGGAGTCCATTAAACAAAAAGTGGAATTGCTGCAAAAAATGGATAAAGCCATACCCTTTGTTTATCTAAACTTTAACGTTTGTTTATCTAAACTTTGTTTATCTTTAACGCGGGGGGGGGGGGCGCGTGCAATGAATTGGAAGTTGATCTGTCAGCACTATCCTTATCTTAAGGGCAGATGTTTTTATTTTATTTGGCTTATAATTGCTTACTCAATGTAGTATTTTTATCTCGATGTACTCCGTCTTTGATATGATTTAAATCAAATGCCTCGTCATTATAATTTGCTTCCAATAGCGAAGAAAGTGACAGAGGTTATTGAAATATAGCAATTTAAAAAGAAATCTTTCTTAACTTTTCAGAGAAAACTTTCTAAGTGTGACAAAACTTAAGAGTAAATAGTGACAACGTAGTCTCTTTCTCAAGCTTGAAATTTCGATCAAGTCAAAAAGAGTTTCCAATTCTGGAGCCGCCAAAGGATCTACAAAGCGAAAGCATGCTTCGCCTTTTCCGATAGCGAAGAAACTGACAGAGAGGTTATTGAAAACGAAAAAATTTCGATTGACAAATTAGTCGTATTCTCGACACAGCAATTATAGGACTTGAACAGCAGAACTTTGTAACTGAACAAGAAATTGTGTCTGTTTATAGAATTAAAGAGAAAGTATTATGACATAAAACGAAGCAACTTGAAACAAATTACATTGAAAGAAATGTTTAATAAAGTAAACAAATAAATATTAAGCTTTTTTTTTTTTTTTTTTTTTTTTTTGTAAATTTTGATACCCTTTAGATTATAATTGTTCTTTATTTCGTAAATTACGGTTTCATATTTTTAATTTTATAATTTCTGCATGCCATTTTACCAGATTTAAACTGATGATCTATAATCCGGAAAAAATCGATAAACCGGAATCGCCGAAGTCCCGACAAGTCCGGATTAACGACTTTTGACTGTACTGTATTATTTTTCGTTGACTGACAAGCTTGGTATCATTGACCACTATGCTTTTTTTTTTTTTTCTCCATTTTACTTCCACTAAAATCAATTAATGATACTTATCAGCAACAAAAAGATGATAGAAATCTGGAAACTTCATGAAAATGCATGGCTTACCATCTGAAAAAGGCGATTCTTAATGTTATTTTTTAAATTGTGGGTTTGAAAATTTTTGTGGCTTTTCAGTTTTTTCTTGAATGGCTTCTTATCACAAAAATAGGCCACATCTCATATTATCATATATTCCACTTCAGATATGAAAAAAAATGCCTCAGCTCACAAATTCATACTAACACTTCACAGAATTTGTATACAAAAGAGACAAAATACATTTTGAAATAAAACCAAAATTTTACCTTCACCCTCTTCTTCATCTTCATCTTCACTTTCACCATCTTCATGAGCATCATTTTCATCGTCATCATCATCATTACCTACTTGGAAAATAAATAATTTTTATTAACTATGATCATTTTATATTTCCCTAGAACAGGGATTACAAATAAGTTGACCTATCAAGAAATCAATCAATGAGGTTAAGTTCCTAATAATTTCCAAATATAATTTATGCGTTTTTCAAGGAACAGTTACAAAAAGACCATCAGAATTTTAGTTTATGACATGATATGCATATTTTACATTTAGAGTATTAACCCCTTCGAGCCGGGTAGCGAAAACGCGCGCTTATCGCGGAGGCCGGCAGTGTCTTCCGCGAGCGTCTATCCAGGGCCGGGGACTTTTTTGCTACTAAGCCTAAATCCATGAAATCTCCGAAGTATCAACGCATTGTTTAATAATGCTCTATAGAGTATTTAAACGGCTTATGCTTTATAGATATTTATATATATATACTTTAATTATCTTATTTCTTGTTTAAATGCATATTTTACACATTTTATTTTAATTACTCACCATTTTATGACTTTTAACATTATACATCTGAAAACTAAATATATTACTTAAAATTCTCTTTTCGTATGAAAAATTTTAAAACAGGCATTTACACATAGTCCTATGTTGCATTCCTTGAACTCGTAATAACTCATTTGCCGTTTTGGAGGATTTTTCTGGGAATGTGAACAAACGAAGCATCGTCGTCTCATTTTCTTATCAGTCTCTTCTGAACTAAGTTTTGGAAAATCTCTTTCAGTTAATCTTTCAGAATCAATATCAGAATCAATATCTGAAATATTTTGCATCATTTCTGCTATTTCATGCTCTGTTAAACATTTTCGACGCTTCGACATTGAAACGGTAAAAACAGAAAGAATTCACATCTAACAAGATCTAATTATTTTCTAAAAACTGAACTGTAAACGGAAATACTGAACGCTTTAGCGCATATAAAACTTCTACTTACAATAAACAACTACCACGTGCGAATAAAGTGCAATTTAAAGGGACGTCATAAATCACGCCATTCGGGAACATTTAGTTCCCCGTTTGTTTATATAATCAAAAACACGTGTATGCGAGTCATGTTTCTCTCATTTCGAGTAGAAGTTCTAATGTACATGTATCTGAAACCATATGGACATACAGTGCCATCTTGTGTTAGAAATTATAGTTTGAAAACCGTTCCAAGGTACTGGCACAAATACGTGACAGTAGGTAGAGAACGCAACAATGCTCTGGCACGCCTGCGTGTCGGCCGGTAGATAAGTGTGTTCGTTGCTGGCACGTATACGTGACAGTCAGCGCGAAGGGTTAAAGCTAAAGATAAAATATACATATCACGAGTATACATTTTCCTGCCCAAGTTTATTACTACTATATACAATCAACTCCTGATTATCCAGGAGTTGACTTGAATGTTTTGTAGATTAACTGGGCCCTGTATAAAAAAAATATTAGCAGCACAAAGAAAAAATTAGTATCCTATATGTATAAAGTACAACAAAACTTTCTAGCAGAATTTGAGTGTTTTTAGGTACAACTATATGCAATTTAATTATGCATAATCCTGAATATATAAACAAAGTTTGTTTTTTTTAATCGAGTCTGAAGTGAATGACACTTCTGAGGTTTTGTTGTAAATACTGTTCTTTAACGTTCGCACAAACATGACTTTAAGGAACTGCTTATGAAGAACTAATTGCATTTAAATTGCATTTTTTGGCTCATTTTTACTATCATTTTAATCTTTGTTTTTATAACTTATATTCATTAAGATAATATTCAGACGAATGAAGAAAATACAACAAAATATTTTAACCCTCTAGATGCGTAATTTTATCAAAATGGGTTAAAAAATTTTTTTATTACATATTTCAGATCTATACATATTTTTGTGTAAAATATTAAAAAAATTTCTTGAAAAAGTTTTTATAAATATAGAATTAGATTGATTATAAATAAAGGTTGTCGGAAAATTGAAATTGAGGAATAATCACATAAAAGCAAAATTTTGAAAATTAATCTTGGTTAAATTAAGATTTACTCTACAAAAGTACAATACATATACTAATGAAAATATGCAAAATACTTATAGCATTTATCAGAAATGAAATTTAATATGAGAAACTTTGAAACAAGGCTCGAGTTTTATTTTGAAATCTTTGTACCAAATCCACGTTTCTTTGTTTTTTCCAATTTAAGATTTTTTTTAACTAACAAACAGTCTTAAGAAGTTATCACATCTAGCGACAGTCCCCGCTAGACGGAACTTTTCTGAGAAACGAGATTCTGGTAGCACTGGTTTACACGGGAGGATTCCTAGAAAAAACAGCTTCCCTGGAAGAGAAGTCATGCCTAGCAACAGAAACGATGTCTCGGCTATGCTGGAGATTTTGAAACTTCGCCGAAAATGTTTCGTCTGCAACTCTGTCCCAGGTAGAGACCAACCAGACTAAACTTCTGAGTCTGAAGAATCACATGATTCTAATCTGAGCGATAATCAATTACTATTTGGCCCTCAAGTCTATTTAGAAAGTAAAAATGGTAACCTAGCTACTACATAGGTTTCATGGAAATGTCTCTTTCTTGATGGACTTGGAGGGGAAGTATATGGTTAGCAAAATGTCAAGCAGTTAGTCTCCTGGGATTCAGAGTTAAACTACATCTACCACGGTAAACACTGGAATTTCCATAGGAAGACTTCTGAATGCTTAGCTGAATATTTTTTAAACAGAACTCTAGAAGCATTATATTTTGCAATGGGTTATCCTTTTTAGGATATAAGCATTCCACAGTGATCGATCCATGAACTGTCAGAAAATATTTATGCAATATTTTCCTTGTTTCCCGAGAGTGAGATATGACATTTCTTCGTCACTTAAACCAACCGCACCCATTGTGCTATTCACAAACAACAACTGGTTTCATTGGTTTTCCTTCCACTTCACCAAATGGGAACTTGCATCATGAACAACAATCAATATTTTTTCCTGCCATTTCAGGGCTATAACTTTACCCTTTTGGTATACAAGGACTTTACCTTTAGTGATTTTTCTTCTTCAATGCAAAATTGGGAAACTGGTCTGCCCGATCAATGCCTTTCATGTAGAGTTGAATATGGTTAACTGGGCCAGCCGCTTTTTCAAACCAAATCCTAAAGAACTGAAACAAATCCTATGTACACAAGCCTAATATTATTCGCTTATTTGAACCAAAATTCCGTTTAATCGAACCAAAAAACGTAAGAGCGAATAAGAAACAGAAGCCACAAGTCGGCCGCATACAGCGGATGTACAGGTGGTCTGCGACATAGGGGAGGATCTGTAGTTGTGGCTTCCCAGGAAAATGCTTTATCAAAGGTCAGGAATTCCTTAAAGTGCATGACAAAAGGAAAAACCGGTGGGAGGTGAACATGCACATCATTTTCTTTGACTTGCCCCTCCGAGTTTCGAGGAAATGAACAATAGAGTGTCTGGCTCCACCTGAAAGGAATTCCAGCCTGTCAATCATGATTAAAGTTTACATGAGAAAGCTCTCATTTCATCACCTTTTTGGGATGATTTTATTGCCAAAGCTTTGAATGGCAAGCAGACCTCAACATCTTGAACCCAAAACACCAAGGTTTCTTCAGACCACTTTAGTCAGCAAACTGTGCGCATGTCGCATCTGCCCTGCCAAAATGCCACGACGGGACTTGATGTTAGCTGAAAAAATTAGTTTCTTGGATAAGATCAAGCAATAACCACGAAACACTAGTCAGTGTCATATGGTGGAAATAACCAAATTGGCAGAGACTACAATTTCATGCTTGATACAAGAGAATGAGCTGCGAGAAGAATGGGCACACTGTGAAGAACGAGGAGGAACTTCCAATAAATGGAAGCGTGAAGGCAAGGACCCAGATGTCGATGAGGCCCTTAATGAATGGTTTGCTATTGTTACTGGACAATCTGTGCGAGTAAGCAGCCCAATGTTAAAATGCAAAGCAGAACTCGCTAAAAAGCTAGGCCACGATGACTTTAAAGCTACGGACGGTTGGTTGTCTCGATGGAAATCTAGACATGACATAAAATTCAAGAAAGCACATGGCGAGAAATAAAGTGCTGATAGTGCAAATATTGAAGAATGGAAATCAACAAAGATGCCCGAGCTTCTTGAAAAATTTTCGGCTGATGACATTTACAATGCTGATGAAACTGGGCTGTATTATCGTGCTACACCGGATGGCTCGACACGTTGCACTCTCTAGCTCCAATGGATCAGATGGATCGCGTTAACTGTTTTGTGCTGCTCAAACATGTCAGGAACGGACAAGAGGAAGTTGTTGATTATAGGAAAAAGCACTAAGCCTCGCTGCTTTAAAGGACTTAGGATGGAGAGTTTACCAGTTGTGTATCGTGCAAACAGAAATGCGTGGATGACCTCTAAACATTTTTAAGAATGGCTGAAGGACTCAGACAGAGCTACAACGCCAGTCGAGAAAAGTGCTGCTTCTTCTTGACAATTGTGAAGCACATCCTTATTTAGATTTGTTTGATGAATATTCAACTGGAATTTCTACCTCCCAGGACCACAGCTTTGGTCCAACCAATGGACATGGGCATCATAAAAAAATTTGAAGACTCTTTTTATCATACAAGGTTGGTTAATTACATCCTTGAAGCAATTGAAGAAAGTTTGCTGAAATCATCGTCAAAAGCCAGCGAAGTCAGTGCAAAGGTCAACATCTTACAAGCAGTCACATTTGTGGCCGACAGCTGGCGAAAAGTGAGCAGTGAGACAATTCAGAACTGTTTTTCTCACTGTGGCTTTAAGCACTTGTTTTTTTAGATGGATGTGGACGTGCTCATTGAAAGTGAAAATGATGACTTGCGTGTGGAACTTCAACAGGTACAAAATTGCAAAGAATTTTTATTCATCGACAACGAGCTTCAATGCTACGATGAAAATGAAGATTATGACGCTGAACCATTGCTCGAGTTGCAGCAAAACACATGAAAGCATAGGAAGACCAGGAAAGTGATGATGGCGATGCCGTTAATAAGTTAGTGCAAGTGACAACACAGGATAAGAGGAAATGCATTGAAACTTTGAGTCAGTAATTCAAGCAGGACGGAAATGAAGGCAGTCCCAATGCTGCGTTAAATGTTTGTGGAGATTTCGTTCATGTGCAATCTGTCAGGAGAACGCGTCAGATCACATTGGGTAAGTTCTTCAAATGTTGAATGGGACTTAAGAAATTGTTTTTATTGTGCTTCGCATGTTGAGTTTCGTGGAAATTGTTTCTTAGAATCTGTTTCTAAATTAATTTTCTCAATGAAAAAAAGTTTGACTGTATTTCTTGTTTGCACATGTATGTTCGCCATACGTGTGTACCGCATCATAAAGTTTATAATTATTACATTTTAGTACATGCTTTACATGTACATTTACTGTTTGTTACATATAGCGCGTCCCGTCGTACAACATAAGACATGTTCGTGTAATCGGACCAGCCGATTATTAGGACCAAAACGATCGCTTCCCGATGTGGTCCAATTAATCGGAATCGACTGTACTTACTAGTCAATCAGCAGGTTAAGTTTCATTTTCCCCATCATGTTTCTATCGATATGATCATTTTTCATTTTAGATGAATGTATTGTTGATATAAGAGGTACCGTTTTCTTTGCCATGCTTGTACTAAAATGTATCTTTTTCTTTTAAAGGACATTTCTCTTCTTTTCAATGAAATGCTTTTTAGGCAATCCAAAAATCCAATGAAATGGTTTTAAGGTTTCTAGGCAATTACAAATTCTAATACCATTTTGTAATAGGTTAGGTTATTTAATTACAGCAGAGCCTCGAGGGCTATCTGCCTAAGGGAAGGGATGCCTTCATGGAGGACTTTTTAAGGGAAACTGGCTCGTATACACGTTACACACGGGAAAACCCATGAAAACACCCATGCAGCCAGCCTGTTCGCGGGATTCGAACCTTGGACCGAACTACCAGTGTTCAGCGACTTTACCACTCGGCCGCTGGTGGGCCCCATTTTGTAATAGTTTTTCACTATTTCCCATGCTATTGCAATAGTTATCCATGTAGATATGGTGCTACAAGCTTGTGTAAGGTGATACAACCACTTGAACTGCTTCTATCAATCACTTTCCTTGAGCACAATATGTTTCAAAATGACATGTAACCTCTAGTACTTTAGCACAGTATACATCTTACAATCTTCACCATTCCATCTTACAATTTTCACTGCATTGTAAACTATGAAGAATAACTCCACCTCCAAGGTATTATGCCCTCATCTAAAGGCAACTGCTGAATAGGCTTATAAACATTTATTAACTTAGGAACAAAGTAATCCAGTAGTGATCTGACTTTCAAATGCCTGTCTGACCTTTTAGTCAAGTCTTCACTATTATTAAAGGGCCACGCCTCCATAACATATGAAATCTGTAGCTTATTATTTTCAGAAAAATTGGAATTTCTGTGCTCCAATAATGTTCTTTTTGGTCTTTATGTTTTGTCCTGTAAGAAAAATAAAACCCAAAAATTTCTTCATGTCTTGTAATGTCCTTCCATTTGAGGGCTTTCTTGGTAGATATGAATATATCAACATTTTGGTAATATTACCCATTTGACTCCTCTACGAGAGACGTATAAAAATCATCATCGATAAAATAAAGATACAGCATCTGATATACTATATGGAACGTTTTCTGTATTTATTCCTGAATGACCTTAAAAACTCTTCCAAGACTGGGGTTTTGTCTACTGATGGCCATTCCTCTTGAGAATCAAAATCATCTGAATCCAGGCTTAAATCGGAATTGCGAGAAATTCTTCATCAGATAATAGACCTAGGATGACGCATAATATCGTTGTCACTAGAATCATCATTGATAATCTCAACTTTGCAATTCGACAAACTATCTGCACAGAATCTATTTTATTCACATTCTATTTTATTATTATCCATTCTTAGGAATTTAATGGAAAAAAAACTCAAATTAGGCTGGGAACATACAAGTGCTAACTCGATGCTCTTAGCAATAATTTCAATTATGCAGATGTGCTTGTGGACCACATACGAGCAACATGCAGCTCTCAACTTCCCAGATTTACATCAAGGCTTAGCTGGAAGCTGTGGTGCAGAATGCTATGCGTTGTCATAGCATAACAGTGTCGGCAAAGAACATTCATAAGAATGCATTTTTTAACGTTGAAGTGAAGAGGCATCAACTTAATGCTCATGGACACCCGAGTTTATTATAAGAACATTAAAAAACCCACCAATAGCATAAATTCATAGAAAACGACTTTTGCCATTACCCGCACTCGACCACCAATCCGCACAAAATAACTTTTAATCACTTCCCGTGCACCAATCTCCACAAAACAACTTTAGCCACTTGTCTCTCACGTGTTAATTCAGATTTCAATTTCATAAAAATAAAATCCTTCCTTTAACTAATATTTTATTTTAACAGCATCTTTTTAACTACATTAACATAAAATTCCCATAGATAATAAATAAAATTTTAAATATGATCAGCAGTCAAAAAACTTTTGGTATTACTACCCTAAGATACAACACACACCCTATTATTCTATTTTTGAAGGAGCATTAATAGTTATGGAAATGCAATTTAAATATATATATATGTGTACCTGAAATAACGAATGAAATCTTATTTTTCATATTTTAATAGCTAAAGTATAAACAATACATTCTCACCTTCGTCATCATCATTTTCTGAATCTTCTGCCTCTTTGTCTTCTCTGTCATAGCCATCAAGATATTTTAAACTGCTGATGAGTCGAAAAACCTCATCTCTGTAATTTTCCACATTTGTAACTTCACAGTTGAATAAATCCAAATTTTTTAAATTTTTGAATTCTTCCTATGAGGGGGAAAAATTAAACAAAATACTCCACAAAAATTAAGAAAAAAATTTTAATACTATCAAAAAAAGATTTAATATTAATAATTTGTTCAAAGCTCATTCTTTTCCAAATCCAGTATTTTTTTATCCTCATACAAGAATACTTCAGAAAAAAATTAAATACAGAAGATATTTAGTACCTATGCCCATCAATCTATTAAAATTCAAAGTTGTGGTCTTTATCAAATAAAAGTAATTCACAATCAACTTATTTTAGAGTAGCTTGGTTATTTATTTCATTGCTTCAGTTCAAAAGTTCACAGCAGAAAGTTACTTTAAGGATTAATTTTCCTTTCTATAAATAATAATTAAATAATTATTTAAATATTCTATAAAAAGTATTATGAAAGTTCATTTTAAATAGTAATTAATATGAACTTTATGATCATATTTACTGTAATCATATAGATAATATGAATCATATGGTAATAACACTTTATATTTGCTCGCAGATTATATATGTTAAGAGTTCTGAAGTCCAACAAAAAAAAGTAATTCAGAATTAGAATTCAATTTTTTTTCTTTCAAAGCTTATATTTCAATATTTTTAAAAATGACTGTCACCCATACTCATGAATTTTTTCGGAGTATTTTATCAACCACCCACATTATTCACTACTAAGACTATTCCAATCAGTGGAGTCTTCAACCTGGCTCAAAATCCCTTCTGTTTATTATACTGGTCTGGCATCAACTGAAGTTTGTCACCTGAAAATTATGACTCCTACACATTACATGAAAAGAGATAAGGACCCAGATGATAATATGAAGGCAATCTATACACAGCTAGATAACTGAAGAAAGAATTTCAAAGTGAATTTAAATATGGAAGTCAGATGAAATACACTGAGATAGATAGCGCTGAATACCAAAAGCTTTGAAAAAGGGGGCAGGAGAAATCAAAGATGTATCTATATTATTTCTAGAACATAAAGCTCATGAACTTATGTCTGCAAGTGAAACAGGAAATTATGCAATACTGTTACTTTGAATGATGGAAATTTCGTAACATATAAGACTATAGATTATACAAAAGTACAGGGTAACATAATTAAATGTTGCCTGTTCACTCTGTAGCTCAAATGGTAAGTGAATTAACACCAAAATTTTCAACATACACCATTTACAAAATGCAGCCTTGCATTCCACAAATAAGAAGGGACTGAATCAGTTAAAAGCATTTACTAGAGAGCATTTTTACGATAAAATACAAAAAGCAAAGAAGGGAACCTTTAAAATTAATGAAACAACCACAAAACATTTCTTACAACCATTATTAATCACATCAGACAAAGAAATAACCTTAGTAGTCATAATAGACTTTTCCCCCCTGAAAGATTACACACCACTGTTATAATGATGGATACTAGAAAATCCAATTTTTCAGAAGCAAATCCCACTGCCGTCCCCTTCTTCGGCCAGTTTGCCTCACAGTCGGCATGGATTCACTTCCATACACATATCCCCATTCCATTTCTATTAGAAGAAACTGCTAACTGCTCAGTGACAAGTTTGATAACGGCTAGCACATATTTGCAGCAACAACAGTGCCTAACATGTATCACTTTTATGGAAGATGGTACACGCTCACACACCAAATGTTGTTAAATGAAGGAATCCTCAATCTCTCGAGCCAGGAAATATAAAACCCAAAAACTAACTATTAAAATAATAATATATTCTTCAGAAATGCTGCACATAATATGAATTCATAATATCTGGCATTCCTTTCCAATTTTCCTGGTCACAATGTTTGCCAGATTTCAAACTCTGATGTTTTGGGTAGCAAGGTCACTTAAGAAAGAGATGTTATCATGGAAGTGGTGCACCTTTGGCAGAATGAAAGTAACATAGGTCATTGCATATGCAAAGTACTTCAGAGGTTTGGTTTATTTAATTGTGACAAAGCACTCAAGAGCTATCTGGATAAGAGAATGGCTGCCTTTTTGGAGGACTTTCTGAAGAGGCTTATACACACATTACAAATAGATAAAGCATGACAATCCCCATGCACCAGCCCGTTCGATCGGATTCAAACCCCAGACCAAACTACCAGTGTTCAGCAACTTCACTGCTTGGCCACTGATGTACCTAGTACTTCAGAGGATCATCTGCAAACATTTATTAACAAGCAGTTAGTTGCCTTAACACTCATGAAATTCAAGACCAACACATCGAGAGATTCTTTAGGATATCTTGCACTATATTAGGCACTTGAATGTGTGCACATTACACTGCAATCACCGTGTTTATTCACAACATTTCCGTACTTAAGCTGTCATGTTTTCTCCTTATGCAATCATTTATCGTGGTCATAAATCAAATTATAAAATATTAATTTTTTATTTTGTTCAATAAATATTCTCTTCCCTTCATCATAAAAGTAACTTCCAGCAGACATTTTAAGCATTTTTTTATCCTGCAAATTATGTTCCACAACCTTTGAGTAAGTTTGAACGAATCTTCGTGCCAATCCAATTTAAAATTACAGCTAGTATAACTAGGCCAACATTCATCATGATTATTTTATGTAACAAGCTACTAATTAATGGCAGTACGAAACATAGTAAAGTCCAAATGGCTTACAGAATCAAGCCAACTTGGTGCTGTGGACTCAAATAGATAAAGAAACATTCATTGTCTAATGTGGTCAAGAACATGCACATAACATTTGTTGAGGAAAATATATAAGATCATCTAACCTATGCTGACAAAATTCAAATCAAGTGACACTAGTCTATAAAATTATACCTGCAATCAATAACTTCCATCTATTCTACTGAAGGAAAAACATCAGTAAATAGGACACACATACATAAGTATACTTGTTCAAACATATTTCCATACTCTGCAGCTAAGTCAAAATGCTTGAAAAATAGATATTGCACAAGCTAATTAAAAGCATCAAATATGTCTTTTCCACACTTTGATGAGAAAAACCTTACCTTAAATAAAAATCAGAAAAATTAAATGCTGATAAACTATCTTTTTTGACCAAACAATGCACAGTACTTTTAACTCGTTAAAACTAACTTGTTATTCACTGTAACATTCAGGAAAAGTCACCCAAGCTATTCATTATTTATAACCATGCTTTAACTGTCACAATTCTCAAATTAATTTTCTTAACAATCATTAAGGTTATACATGTAATTTTTAAATTGATAACAGCTACTGAGGAAATATTATTTCACGAGGTTGAATTCAAATAATGACGACCTACCTGTACAAATTGTTACTGAAAACATTCTAGACATACGTAAAATTTTAACATAACTAGAAATTTGTAATAACCAGGTTCCAAATATCAAAAATACAGCACACATTCTTCTGAATGATAAATAAAATTACTTTAATTGAATTTTTCCATACATACGCATTTTAATTACTTACAGAAGAACAAAAAATATACGTTAGCATGTTCAAAACATTTTATTTCAAAATGAATATTCATACAACAGCTTTAATTTCAAAGCATTCCTTACCAATGGCTTTAATGTTTCAATATCTTTTATTTTGTTACCACTGAGGTTAAGATGTGTGAGTTTTGGACTTCCATGTAACCAATTTAAGCCACCAGAAATCCTGTTGTCACTCAATTCCAACTGAAAAAAAATGGCAACACTTTACAGAGAACATAAAATTTAAAAACATGAAATGTAAAAATTTCTAACAAAACTAAAGAGAACTAACACAAAAATTCTCAAATAACTTCTGTGCATGATCCTAAATTGACATTTTTCAATTAATAGTGAACCCATTATAATAGTGTGCTAGAGTGCCAAACGGTGTAGCCTGTTTATGTCACTTTACAGGTAGTTAAAGCAATGGTGCCATTATGGTGGGTAGAATGAATGTTGCATTAATTTCTTTGAAATTTTCAGATGAAGTCCCTACACCATAAAAGAGTAGTCAAATATTTCAAACACAAACTTCCACTATTTCCCTTTTTATGAAGTGGGATCATATATATACTAAAAGAACAGGAAAACAAAATGGAAGTGTATTTTACAGTTACCAAAATGAATCTGATTTTTAAATGACCCATTAAAATGACTGCTATCGATTTTCAGTAAAAGGAAAAAAAAAAAAAAAATCCTGTCTTTCCAGTGTTAAGTCTTAGGTGGTTTTCGAGATTAAACAATTTTTCCAATATCTGTCACTCACAGTGGGAACAAAGTCACTTGTTTTCTCCCTATATGCTTTGTTAAGTGTCACATCTCCGAGTGAGAAAAACAGAGAACTTTTTGAAAAAAAAAATGCATATTTTTTAAGAATGTTTTTAGATCGAATTTTAAAAAAATAATAACATACAAGGTGTGGCTATTAATTTTCAGAACTGCTCTAATAACACCAGAACAGATGATATGAAAAACATAACATTTTAATATGTTTCGAAGTAATCCCCATCTGCCGTCATACACTTCTGTTTTCGGCTGTATAATTTGTGGAAACAACTTTTAAAGTCATCTTTTGGAAGGCTCTTCAATGTCATGTTCTTCTTGATGTCCTGCCCTCACATTACGTTGACAGTGAAGAGGCTTTTGGCCAAGCATGAGGTCATGGAGCTGGATCATCCACCATACTCTCCTGACTTGGACCCCACAGACTTCTTTTTGTTTTCCAAACTCAAAACTAAGATCAAAGGAACACACTTTGTGGACGTTGAAGACGTCAAGAACATGATGTTGACATTGAAGAGCCTTCTGAAAGAGGACTTTAAAAGTTGTTTCCACAACTTATACATCCGAGCACAGAAGTGTATTGCGACAGATGGGGATTACTTCGAAACATATTAAAAGGTTACGTTTTTCACATCATTTGTTCTGGTGTTATTAGAGCAGTCCTGGAAATTAATAGCCACACCTTGTATTTTACTATAACAAAAAATAAATTTAATTAAATTTAATAAAAATAATACTTTGTCATTTTATTTTTATATGTAATTAATTTGTCAATATAATAATGTATTAATACTGAATTTTTAAAAACCAACAAGACATGTTAATTAATTTATAAATCAACAGTAGACTTTGAAACATGGAATGGTACACAATGTGGCATTTCGCACCTAAAAACTTTCGACTCAAATCATTTTCATCATGTCACGAAAATTTGATGCATTTCTAACTGTAACACGCATTTAAAATATAGCAATAAAAATTACTAAAAACTTGCTAAATTCACCTTTATTGTGCACGAAATTATCCAATACTCCTACAGCCATCAATCTATACTAAGACTAATTAGGGAATTCAACTCACTGGCAATGCTAATGGATTATTTATAAGAATGAATCCACTTCATCTGCACACATTGGAGCAAAAATCTAATTCGTGAGAGGGACTCGTTCTTTACTAATTATGCAGGAATTTGGAATGCAAACTGTGGTGCATAACTGGAATGTGAGCTGAGCTCATCAATGACCATCAAAAGATTTTAATAAATTATTTCCCAGAAAATTAACCTTCTATTAGGAAAGGAAATGAAAGAATAAATAATGATTTCCTTACCCATCCCTGTATTTTAATTCCTAAAATTCTCCAAAATGCTGAAGTATTTAATGATGATCAGTATAATGGGTGTAAATGTCAAAATGGTATTTATGTATCTTGTCGACCATGAAACTGCCAGCATGCAGGGCGATTTAGCAACAATTATAGATAAGCATGACACAACACATCCATAACACCTATAACTTTTGTCTCATGCAACTCTGGTTGATTTTTGATAAGCCACATTTTGTTTTCACAAAACAGGTTATAAACTAATTCTTATTGCCATATTTTTTCTTGCATTTGGAAGGGGGAAAGATTCAAATTTTGAGACTTGCCTAACACACAGCAAAGAGTGAATTATTTTTAAAATTACAGAATTCTACCATAAAAAAGGGGTGTGTATCAATAAGCATGATAGATAAATACAATCGACAAAGCAATAATGGATAGGAACAACTGCCTGTAGAAAATCTGTACACAAAGGGTTTTAAAAGTTTCTGATAAACCTACAAAATAGTAAAAAACCAATGACAGCCTTTTTATGAAATGGGTACAGTACTGTTTTTTATTACGTATAGAAGCATTAGTTCCTTCAAATTCCAAAGAGAAAACTGGCAAAACTTTGACAGGATCTCCACCAACCTTCATTGTCAACAAGATACTACTAAGTACTGTTAAAATTTTATTATAGGGGAAATTTTATGAAATGAGTCGTGATATTGGGTCATCCAGAAAGTTCAGCAATTTTATATAGAAAAAAAGCAGTAGAAAAACTTAAGAAAATTTCATTGAATCACATCATTTTGTTCTATAGCTTTTTGCCATTTTTCTGCCAGCTAGAAGTTAGGTTTATTTGCAATGTTACATGGTGCTGTATGACAATCTCAAAATAACAAGCATTTAGAAAATTTTGAAGTGACCTGAAGAGATGAAAATCCCATGCAGCAAGGTCTGATGAATATGGAAAGTGACACAATCTATTCCAGCCTTAATTCATATTCATCCAAATGTGAGGATGAACCCTGTCACAAAGGAAGGCAACATTGATGATTAGTCAGTTCTGGCACTTGCTTCGATTTCTGCTTTTAAAACTGTCATTTGGAAACTGTCTTTTTCCAATTTTTTAGATTTGTGCCAGCAAGTCATAGCATCAGTTCCTTTGTAGTTCCATCATACACAATAAATCACTTAATGGGGATGGAGCCTACTTTTTGATTAATTTATTACCTGGTTTGGTGCCAGCAATTCATGCAATTCTTTTATTCATCATACACAAAGCATTACTTTTTGGGGATGCAGCCCAAAAAGTGATGCCTTGATGCTACAAAAGAAGGTTTTTCTGGTTTAGTTTATTATCTTTTTCCTGCAAATTATTATACAGTTTCACTTCTCATCTTCAGTAATGAGCCATTTCAAAAAGGAAATTCGTTATTTCTTTCCAGCAAAGATACACATGCTAAAAATTTGAGCAATGCATAACCTGCTCTAAAGTATACTGTACCCATACATTATATTACTTACACACCCAAGCTTTTTCAAATTATCATGTACTGAAATTTTCGGAATATTTGGTGTGTCTGACAAAGTTCCGAACTGCATAACAAATACTTATCGCAACAGGATTTTTAAGAAATCATTGCTTAACGTAGGTTACATCTTTGAGGCTGAAATTTCCACCCATAAACTTCTCAATTCATATTCAAACAGCATCATCAGAAATAGCGCTTTACTCATATACAGCACAAATTTTACAAGCTAGCATTTTTTGTTTTTTTAAATAAAAGAGCATAATATGACAAAAATAAATCTTTGGGTTCTCCACTCTTAGCACTTCACAAAAAATAAATTAAAATTAAATAATTATGCCTCTACTCATTTGCAAGATGAGCAAAAAAGATCACATTTAAATATTCACTTCTTCAATCAAGGTTGCTCCTTATCAGCAGTACCAAAATAATGAGATTTAATGATGATAAGAATATGCTTCGATTTAAAAAAACCCATACACTTTCCAGATCACCCAATATTTGGTTACTTCAGAAACAAGAAAGTCTGAAATTTATTTTAACTCACAAATATAAAATTACATAATGTAAAATTTTAGCATATATATTTAGTTAAGTCATGTTCTTTATATCCTCTAATTCAGTATCCACAGTTTTAACTATCTGCAACTTGGAGTGGTAGTGCAGCAAAAGTGCAAGTTTCAAAATGCAAAACAAGTACCATTAGGTTATATCATAATTGTAATACAAAAGTTCAGTCATGTACAATGCTATCTCCTCATGCATCTGTATACTTTTTGCAGATTAACATAACTAAATATGGGAAAAGAAAATTGTCGCTGTGGGACTATCTGTTTTCTCAGGCTGCAAGAGTGTTCTTTATATGAAGTTATCGAGACCACCATCGCTTATTTTGAAGACGATGTGGTCATATCATTCGATGGCTCATAGTCTTTATAACAGAGTGGGGTACAACTCTAATATAAGCCCTAATTTCACCAAATGTGGCGATATGTGTTCTGCACTGGTTTTTGGCACGATTGCATGTTCTATGGCAACCCTGTTGATGTTGAAAAATCTTTCGCTGGAGCTCGTTGATTCGCCTCTGTGTCTGAGAAGATGGGAGGAAAAGATAAAATGGTAGTTGTTGAATTGAAGTTCGGCAAAAGGAAATATCATTGTGGCTATTCTGTTGAGGGGTAGTGGGTATTTGGAAGTGTGGAAAGAGGGTCTGGGAGATTATTTTTAATGGCAGTGCAAGATAGAAGTAGGGATTTGTGATTTTATTAGTATAAATTTTCTGGATAGTGTGTCTGGCTGTCATGTAAATACGATAGTGATTACGTGGCGGCATGTTAAAGGCGGTATGAAATTTATATTTCTGCCATTCGAAAACACATTAATTCATGGTAAGTGCATTTTATTTATCCTTGTTCTTATTTTAGAGAATGTTATGTTCATTGGTTCTTTAGTATGAATTCCTGTCGTTATTGTTGTTATTTTAAATTGTTTGAAATTTATTTTGTTGTTTAGTGTCTAGACTGTGCAATTCGTAGATGTTTTTTTAAATTTGAAACAGAATGCTGTGTACACGGCATTATTTGAAATTTATTGTTGTTATGTTATTTTATTAAAGCGAGGAGTGCATAGATCGTAGATTCCTTCCTTGCCTAAATTGTGCAATTCGTAGAATTTTTTTAAGTTTAAACAGTATGCTGTGTACATGATATTCTTTGAAATTTATTGTTGTTATGTTAATTTATTAAACCTAGGTGTGTGTAGTTTGTAGATTCGTTCGTTGCTTACATTGTGCCATTCGTAGATGTTTTTTTAAGTTAAAACATGTCGCCGTGTACATGGATTCTTGTCAAATATTTTTGGTTAGAAACTTTACGTTTTTGCTATCTAAATTTTTTGTTTTTGTTTTGGATTTTTAGCTAAATTGTATGTTGAAAACGTAGTTTTTGCATGTGCAAAAACCGCGTTTTTGGAGACATTTTAGGCTAAAAGTTCGAAATGTAGACAAAAAATTTAGATAGTAATATGGCGAAGTGAAGTTTCTCGCCAAAAATATTTGGCACGAAATTTGGCGACTTGAGGGCGCATATCAGAATAGTTCCCAGCGTGGTTTAGTCACAAGAACATTTACTTGACAAAAATATTGAAAAATTTTAGAAAGCAAAAACTACTCCCCCTCCAAAAACAAATTTCAACACTTACAATAAAATTAAATAGCAAATTAATAGAAAAAATTAATCATACAAAATACACTTTCAAATTTTAGAAAATAAACCAATGCTAAACAGCACTCACTTTTTTAAGATTTGGCAATTTAGGAAAACCTTTAAGACTGATAATGCCAACATTAATGAGACTCAAAGTCTCCAAATTAACAAATTCATCGGTTAAACCGACAATTTGTGTACTCCGACAGTTGTCCAAATTCAGTTCTTTGATCTGAAAAAAAAAAAAAAATTAAAACAGAATTTTAAAATGTCAAAATTAATTTAAAATTCAAATTTACAAATTATATTACATTATAATGGCAGTGATCACTTTCATACAGTATGTATCTGGTATTACAAGAGCTCCTGTCAATAGGCCAAATATATTATGCATCTCATAATAATGCATTTGTTTTTAGTATTCATGTGATCATGCCTATACCAACGCCTGCCATGCACCCTCAGATCCTCTATGTTTTGACAGTGGGAACTAAACACTGTATATTCATTTTTTCTGCCCCACATAAAGAATGCACCAGGCATATCAAACACTTTTTTTTTTTTTTTTTTTCTAGAGAATGCTTTGTAATCAAAATTAGTTTGAATATATGAAACAGAAAAAGAGAACTTATTTGAAAGTTTAATTCATCAGAAAAAGAACACAATATAAAAAGTCTGAAATCCGGACATATCCAGAATGATCAAATATCTTCAAAAAGAATATGTGCCATAAATGCAATTTTTGACTTTTCTATGCACTAACCCAGGTTCATGCATGTCGCTTTCAAAAACCTGCTCACTAAGAAGTCTTGCCAGTAACAATGTATTGACTGACACTATTCTGATCTTGGCCAGAATCACACTTTCAGCATTTCAATGGTTGTGCGTAGGAGGGAGATGGGCAGGTGCTGCACAACATGGGTGCTAAATTCTTGGGACTGTTGACAGTTTAGTATGCTTCTGACTTAAAACAATAAGCAAAGCCCTACTGTTGCCATGTTTACACATCACCTTATAAAAGTTTTAAACTGAAAATCTGAGATCAGGAAATTTCCAAAGTCCCATAAAATCCAGATCTCGGACTTTGTACTTATTTGGCCATAATTTCACTATAAAAAGTTTGTAAAGCTCATTTTACTCTTACTACTTTGTTTTTTCCCAAAAGCCATGACTTTTATTTACATCTGCAGCCTTTCAGACAATTCAGGATTTTTAGTTGCTAGAGAAAAGTAGGTCGTATTTCTTGATAGGCTAGAGGTCAGTTGGAAAAGCATGCATATTGAAGTGTGGATTGGAATCACCTGGTTACAGATTTTCATTATTTTCCAGTTTGCATTTTCTTTCAGGCCGTGAAGCTATTATGCTGATAAGATGTCTCATTCAAAACCATTTCAGACTGCTGAAGAGGCATTCGAATATTTTTATATGATGATTTTATCAGATGATGAAGAGTGTATTGATATTTGTCTACTTACTGCCTCTAGAGGAAAGTGGATGTTTGACAGATGAGGAAGATGGTAAATGAAGATATTTTTTAGCCTGTTCTGCCAGCGGATATATGTGGAAACACTGAAATTTCGAATAAAATAACGATGATGAAATATCTCATGAAATCTCATTTGATCCTAAGAACCTTCACCTTCAAAGGGAAGGTCGAATTTGAAGTGAAAACTAAACTCTAATGAGAAAAAAATTGAATATCGGTGGGGAAAAAATTTTAAATTTTAGCAAAATTCTGAAAACTGGCAGCATTGAAAATATTTCAGACGCATTTCCTGAACTTGTTACTTTATCTGCAGTTCAGTTTTCTTGACACGTTCATAACTAGAGAATATTTCTGCAGTTAGCAAATATGACCGGACTTTATGCAGAAAAGAATTTCAGTTGTAATTAAAAACAATAGAAGAGTTTTTTTTTTTTTTTTTTTTTTAGTGTTGCTTAGCGGGTATCACAAAGGACAAGTCACGTGAAGAAGATTTATACGGAAGCACTCAATATCTATCTGTACCAGTTGTTTCTTCTGTAATGCTAAGAAATCGATTTAGAAAGCTCAAAAAAAATTCATATTGCAGGTAATATCACGTCATTAGAAGATAAAATGAGAAAAGATTTCCCCTCTTATGAAGAATGAGAAAACATTTTTCAGCAGGCATTTCAGTAAAATCCCATTAACCATTTTTGCCTATTAAAGAAAAATTTTCCCCAAAAAATTGAAAAGCCTTCTTCAAACACAGTAACCTTTATTACACGTGTTAGTTATTATTCTTGAGTAAAGACTCCTTTTCCCCCCTCTATCGTGCATTTCGGGGAGGGGAAGAATTATTAAAATTTGGGATGTGCCTACTACAGAAGAGTTGTTGAATGTTTCCAAAGTTACAGAATCTTACGGGCCTAAAAAAAAAAAATGTGTTAACGACCACGAAAAAGTGCTTTATTTAAAAACTGAGAAGCAATGGCGTTGCAACGTTAAGGCTTGTACGAAGCGAGTGTCAATTTCAAACGGAACGTGGTTTGAAGGAATAAGAATAGAAAGTTTTTTCTTGTATTTAGTAAATTTTGGGGGGGGGGATTGGTGCTGTCTCTTATGGTTGACGGGATTTTCCCATACATACCAATAAAGGTATACATGAATCGATAGTCCCCTTTTTACGGTCATCATTTGGCTAAAATGTTCATCCAGGAAAAACAAATTCGGTTTGGCTATAAAATAAGGATGTTATGCTTCAATAATAATGGCTATCAATATTCTATGAGAATCTATAGTGGAATAAAGTTCAGTAATAGATAACTCCCCTCTTGGACTGTGTAGGAAGCTTTTATCAAATGTTGAAAATCCAGATAAACATTATTTTTCATCCCATAAAATATTTACAGATTCATATGAAAAGAGTTTTAGAGCAATTCGAGATTTACGGACAGGAAGATGCCCTCTCGGATCGCCAAACGAACCTTCAAACTAGCAAAGAGGAAATTTCCATTACCAAAGTGACGGACAAGTTTACATTTCCTGATTGAAAGTCAGTAGTGTAGTAATTATAGCATCTAGCATCCAATTACTCAACATACGAACCTATCAGTAAAGCTAAGAGATTTTGCCAAGCCCAAAAAAAGAACAAAATGCACAACGAGGGTGGGTTTACATTCACTTCTGCACAAAGAAGCAGAACTGTCACGTTTCAGTTTCAGGAGAGAAGTAACTTTATGTCCGCTTTCATGAACGCAAAAATCCATTCTGTTCCTGGACCTTGTGCACATAACTCTGAATCTTTGAGACAATCATATTCACATTATCTTATGTCAAGGATGTTCCGCTATATGCCAATACACTAAAAAAGAAAAAGCGTTTATAGTGCGAGAAAAGACTGCATGAGAAATGCTTTCCTAAGTACCATGAACAGCAGGGGAAAAAAGATTTAAAACATAAAATCCAAAACAATTGTTATTTTTTTCCTTTATTTCTTGTTCCAAAAAATGTAGGCAAGTTTTTATTCTTCCTTGTATTATTTAGCTTTATATTCATACGATTTCTGCTCTGTGAATTTTTCTATGGAGGTTTTTTTTTACTTTATTCTACAACTCTTTTCCTTGTTTCAGTATAAAGTGCTAATAATTATTGTAAAATTCTTTTATAAATTCCTTCTTATCAATGAAGTCAATTTGTTTTAATTTACTAAGAAACTTTTTTCTTAGAAGCTTTGTTGAGTAGCTTTGTTGTTCTAAGGACGTAGCCTGCCTTCTTTTCTGCTTAATCAATATTACTTCTGAATAACATTTAGAAATTCACTTGCTAACACTGAAAAATTGTGGACAAAAATGTTAGGTTAATCTTTGGATTATGGTAATTTGGCGACCAACCCTGCTACAGCAACCTGCTAGTATTTGTGTGGACGCCATTTTGTTTTCACGAAGTAAACGCAGGTTTATTATTATTATTATTATTATTATTATTATTTTATGGAACAAAAGTGCTTAATCATGATGAAGATTAGGTGCGGAATTGGTGAAAGTGCAGGATCGCAAACTGCTTGCCACGTTTTTAAGAATTGCACATACACAGTATCCATGTACATGTCGACCTATTTTCACTTTAAAAAAAAAAATCCCAGAATTGCACAAAAATGGCATTGCGCACACTCTTGACTTTATCCATGTACAGTGCTAAAGTCCTAGCTAGTAACCTTTATCGCCTTACCAAAATGTTGCCAAACTATCATATTCCAAAGATTAGCCAAATATTGCTTCGAATTTAAAAGTCGTTAATCACGTTTTATAAAATCCTGTAAAAAAACTGTTTCCTTCCAAAATGTTATAAATCAATAAAAGAACTCCCCCCCCCCCGCAAATATAATATTTGAGTTTTAAATTGATTTTTCACTTCAAAATTTTTATATTACTATCACATCATAGTGTGGCATTTAAAAGGTTAATAATTTATTTTTTAACATTCTTTTACAAGTATGAACTGGCACAGTCGGTGGGCACCATTTGCATATAAACATTCATACATATATCATTTTAAGTACTGTCAAAAGTCTTCAATCCAGACTTCGGCGATTCCGGATTATTGGTTTTTCCGGATTATAGATCATCAGTTTAAATCTGGTAAGATGATATGCAGAAATTATAAAATTAAAATTATGAAACCGTAATTTATGAAATAAAGAACAATTATGATCTAAAGGGTATCAAAATTTACAAAAAAAACAAGCTTAATATTTGTTTGTTTACTTTATAAAACATTCCTTTCAATGTGCACATGCATAAAGCATACATTATGCATAGTCGAAATTAGAAAATCGCAACCAGAAAACTATTTAATGTGTATTCGTGATATATATAATGACGAGGAATTTGATTTAAATCATATCAAGGACGGAGTAAATCGAGATGAAATACTACATTTAGTAAGGAATTATAAGCTGAATAAAATAAAAACATCTGTCCTGAAGATAAGGATAGTGCTGACAGATCAACTTCCAGTTCATTGCGAGCCGCGACGTTTCCTCCGGTTAAAATTCAAACATTTAATGGATAGATGACAAAGCGGTAGCCCATATATAATTTAGTAATAACCGATGGGACTAAATTTGGTTGAAGACAAGTTTACGATTTTAAATATTAAATTAAAATCCATATTCATCTTCCACATAATTTTTTCATTTAATAATCTCAAATTTTTAAAAATTAGTGGAGCACCAAAAAATCTAATCATTATACACTGCTGGCCACCGTAAATGCAACACCCTGAAGGAAGCATGCAAATAACATGAAAATTTACAACATGCATTAGCGGAAGCGAGATATGCGAATGTTTAGAATTTTAGCGCAGACATCATGCACGCCTGTGGTGACACTTCAAAGCGCTATTTAAGGCTTGGAGTTTTCAATGATTTCAAGTTCGTCAATTGTGTTTTTCTTGTGGTTTAGTGGCCTACCGAGAGTGTGGATTATCTTTCGGTAGTCGTGTTGGACGAAACCAAACAACTGTAATGCGGATATGTGGCCGTTGGATGCAGGAGAGTACTACAGACCGACGTGTTCGATCGCATCCACCTCAGTGCACCACTTCATGTGATGACAAGAACATTGTGCTCATGGCAGTGACGGATCGCTCAGTCACATCACGAACCATAGCACAGCACATTCAGTCTGTAACGCATCATCCAGTGTCCGCGCGTACCATTCAACGCCGTTTACAGCAGAGTGGTCTGTCCGCAAGACATCCATTGCTTTGTCTACCCTTGTCCACATGTTGCTCACATTGTCCAAGGGTTCTTCGTCAATCAGCAGATTGAATTGCTTTCCTGGCCGGCTCGCTCTTTGGATGTTTCGCCGATAGAAAACATGTGGTCTATGGTTGCTGAATGATTGACCCAGATTACATCTTAAGTTGCCACATTAGATCTCGTGTGGAAGCTGCTTGGTCTGCTGTACCCCAAGAACACATTCAAAGTCTCTTTGAGTCTATGCCGAGGCGTGTGGTAGCAGTGATCTCCAACAATGGCGGCTAGTCTGGCTACTGATTCTGGAAGGAACCACACTTCACAGAAGTCTATAAATTTAATCATTTGATACTTGGTTAACATGTTATCTACTAAACAAATTTTGTTGACATTTCTTGTGTTACAATTTGGGTGGCCAGCAGTGTATACAGTAAGAGAAGACAAAATATTCGGATTTAAAAAAAATGAAAATAATCTTAAGAGAACTTAGACACACTTCAAATAAAAAATCTGGTGACATAATATTAATGCACATTCTTTTGATCATCTATTACTTTAGATGCATTATGGTCATCTATGGAAATTTAAGAGTATTTTCTTATGCATTAATTCAAAATGCTAAGTCAATATATTGTTAAAAATAGTTTAATACCTTAATATATTTAATAATTATAAAATTGCTATTACTGCACTAAGCTTGCATATTTATACTAGATTTGAAATCTTTTATATCTGCATGACATTCACATCAAGATTCAAACTGACATAACTTTACTCCATAAGAAAATTTTAATAGAGTATTTAGAATACTATAATAAAATATTGAAAAATGAAGTAATTAATATTATATTTTTGCTTGTAGAGGAATAAAATTTGCCAACTTGTAAAAACAGTTTAATATGCAGATATCAAAATAAGATCATAAATAGGTTTAACATGATATAATACTGTATAAATAGGTATCATCTATTTATCTAATGCATCTTTATACTTTTATGCATGCAAGAAATATAAAATGATCATAATATAAATTCTCACACCAAGAATTTTATTACACTTTTTAATAATAAAAAAAAAAGTTTCAGGAACTTATACATAATTTTTAATGGAATAAAATTGATTTTTTAAATAACTATTTTAAAATGTACGCATCAATCGAAGAACAAGTACATTTCACATTTTTCTCTTTAAAATTACCTTATTCTTATCTAATAAATTTCCTAATACTTTTCTGTACGGAAAACACTTAAAAATAATGTAAATATACATTTCCAAACTTAACAAACATAAAAAATTATGTAAAAATTCACATAAATTCAATCACATAAATGTATAGAATTATAGCCACAGCAGCATCTCACTAAGATACTAATTTTTGCACAGAAAACGTAACGCTAAGTTTTTAAAAGATGCACGCTTTTTATAATTTAACTTATGCTGATAAAATTTCTCACTAGATGATAGACACTGAAAAAACTATATTACATACTTAACCAATATCACAAAAATACACCGATATTCAAAATCAAGTTTCTACTTCAAATTTTCACCACCCTTTTCTCCCCCACTCCCACCACCGAAGTTCGGGACTCTCCACATTTAACTATTCATATACTCTATCTTAACTGCTAATTACCCTATTCGACCTTATTTACATATTTCTGTACACCACAATTATGAGTAACATTACATATTTGCAATATATTTAGAATCAAGAGGTCATATTACGTTCCATCCCAAACTACGCTTCCGCCTCAACTTACGTACGAAGTAAATAGTAAGACTAACGACACACGCCGATAGCACTTAGAAATAATTCAAAGTACGATTTAAAGTTAAAACCAAAATACATTTTCTAAGAATGCATTTTATAGTTTCGATCGACAGCTATATTCATCTGAAATGATTAATTCTTCACAAGAACAGAAATTCTGCGGCGTGTTCATAACTGTTTTGAATTCCACATAAGTATGGACGCACTAACACTCGCCATTACTTAACAAAGCTTCATCACGTTGAACGGACGAACACAGTTATTACGATAAGTCATATAATTTCTGTGCAAATTTACATTCATTTTTCAAAAAATAATTACAAATAATAAGCATAAGCATTTTACCACAGCAGGGCTTCTGCCTCTCTTTTCTAGCTCAATCCGTTTCTCCATGTTGCCGACTTTTAAGACTTGCGAAAGCGCGTAAAAAGCGTTGCTCACTTGTTCAACAAGACGATGAAAAATGTTGCCAGTTTGAACAAACGTAATATTTTTATCGTCTTCTGCTTTAAAAGATAACATTTTCATGCCGTACAAAAGTATATTCACACATGTTTATTTATATTACAAAACATATAAATATGTTACCTTAAATAAAACAAAACACATTCGAATATTAAATGGCGATAGTGTACTAGACGCTGAATGCAATTTTTAAAAAACGTTAACGGTATTAGTTTTTAAAGTTTGCTCATCTGAATATGATAAAATATATAAATTGGGATGGCCTCATGAACACCTGTTCTGATGTGAATTAACGATAATTTATTTTAGAATTTTAAAGATAGTTATCCGTAATAAGGATTCGTTTACATGCTTAGTTCGCGAGTCGATTGAAGTTAAAAGACCACTCAAATCACAATTACGTAGTAAAAGATGACAGGAACTTTTGAAGAATTACAAAATAACTTAATAATCCAAACATATCTTTGTTGCTTCTTGATTATTCTATGGCATGGCAAATAACAATAGGGACAATTCGCATCCACATTTTTACTTGCTACGTATTAAATTTTTAATAATGAATAGAAACACTCAAGCAAGAGATGTTCTTTAGCTAGCAAGCGTGAGCAGCAAAAAAGAATGACTAATAGTTACAGTAGTGTTTATAATCTCAGAACGCTTTGCTATAAGCCTGCCCAACAATTGCGCTAGAAGCCTATAGCAATGCGATTACTGCAGGGAAAATGCAGATGACTTGAAGGAAGGTTGGACTTTAATTGTAAATTAAAAATTTTAAATCTCTACTGCCAATTTGTTCCAATTAATTTTAATTTCGCAAAAAATTTCAGTTATATTTTTAATATTACGTCATATTTATATATTATTACACACACACCCCACAATATGTGTGTGTGTGTATATATATATATCTTACATATGTATAACTACCTCCCTCACACATACCACGCCCCTCCCACATACAAAAAATAGCTTGTCAAATGTTCACCGCCTGTAATAATTCAAAGTATCCCCACTGCTGATCCCGGAGTATCGGATACCATAGCCTACAACAACCCTTCTGAGAAAGAAACAGACGCGAACACTTCACCGACTTCCCGGTAGAAAGAAAGAAAGTTGATTAATTAATTAATTCATACTCTGCCCTTTTTGTATTTTATGTGCATTTCATATTATACACTTCCTTGTATCTTATTTTATATATTTCAATTTTTCAACTTATATTTCATTAATTTTTCCAAAGGTTGCATACTTTATTACGTTTCTTGTGTTTCTTATGTTTATTCCGATTACTTTGAGTTTTATTTTGTAAGTAAAGTAAAGATTACCGTATATACCCGCGTATAAGTCGACCCCCCACTTCGACATAAAAAATTCGTAGAAAATAAGAAACCCGTGTATAAGTCGACCCCACACTTCCGAAATCGATCGAGAAACTTCGAAAAAAATTTTTTAAGATACCAACATATCCAAAACGCAGGATAATTGGGGGAAAATGATTGTATATAATAACCTTCTAGAATTTGTTCCGGAAAAGATTCGCGTACGTAAAATCTATCTGCATTTTCCCTTTTTAAAAGTTAAAAGAAATATTCAAAACTGTCCAGTTAGTATTCAAAACTCTTCAGTTATTGCGTGGGCTATTTTTTTAAATTTTGACGTGTATGCCTGTTAGCAAAAGTATTTCATGAATGAACAATAACTATTATAAAGACTATACATACGTAAAAACTATCTGCATTTCTCTTTTCTTGGCGTGTTGGCGAAACTTTTTTATTGCTAGATATTGATCGGTTGTTCGGGGGCCGAAAATTCTTTGGTTTAATCGAAACTTATTCTAGTTAAAGTATGAAACTCTGTGATTAGTTCGTCACATAATTTTCAAGTCCAAATTTAATTACTTCAAGTAAGTGACTTATTTGATAAGTCGTCCAATTTGAGTGCATTATATAAAGAAATTTTTGAACTTCCGATTCTTTTAATTTTTTATGGCCCCGCGTTCAAGTCGACCCCCCACTTTGAAGTCTTTTTTTCTTTTTTTTTTTTTTTTTTTTTTTTTTTTTTTTTTTTGTCCAAAATATCTTGACTTATACGCGGTTATATACGGTAACTTCTTTTTATTATATTTATAAAAATAGTTTTGAATTAACATGCATGAAAGCGAGGATGTCGGGGCGCACTTATTCAAGTAGCTGAAATTTTTACTACTTAATTCTTCTTTAATATCTCGAGATTTCTAAAAAATCCATTCACCTTTAAGGAAACTGCTACATTCAAAATAAATTCTTTATAGCACTCTACTGAATTTGGCTATTATATCTCGAGATTTCTAAAAAATCCATTAACTTAACAGAACTGTTACATTCAAATGAATTCTTTATAGTACTTCAATTTAATTCATCTCATATTGTACTTCAATTTAATTCATCTCACTAATTGTATTAAAACTCGACTACAAATTTTATCTTAACTAAAATTGCCAATTTGGCATCATCTTTCTTATTTAAGTAAAAGAAGAAACACCTTCACATTTATTAATTATTGTTCATTGAACGGGGGCTAGTTTGTTCCTCTTCAAAAGTCAACCAGTTTCCGATCAATGATGATAATTTCTTGGTGTATTAATATTCTTTTTAAAAGTTTGAATTTCTATTATTTTCGGAATTAAATTTCATACTTCTGGGTTACCTCATTTAGATACATTCTACTAACTTTATATTAGGAGATAATATAATCAATATTACTTTAATAAATAAATTATTATTATACTTTGCAGCTATTGCGCAAGTATTAGGAAATTTATTTCAATTTCAATGAATTTCAATTAATTCAATATATACATATATATATTTCTAATTTTGATTGGCTGTAACCTCCTTCATTTTTTATTTAATTTGGGAACTTCATCTCTCTGGAATATGCTCCCAGCGTGCAGACCACCAAACCACGATGGTATGCTAATTATAATATAAATAAAGAAATTATTTGATAAATATTGATACTTAATCTGAGATTTAGAAGATTAATTTAAGTGATACATTAAAAACGTCAGGAAAAAGAAAAAAATAATAGTAGGATATATATGTGGTGAGATAAAAAATATGAAATCAAACTTCTAATTTTAATTGGCTATAAACTGTTTTATTTTTTATTTAATTTGGGTACTTCCTCTCTCTGTCTTAAAAATAGCGCTGCAAGTCCAAACTGAGTTATTCAAATTAATCATGCGATCCTTCATAACACTTAATGCAGATACATCTTTGCCCAATGAAATAATTGTAAACAAAAACGTTTTCTAATTCGAACTGAAACTTTTGACTCCCTCCCTTCTTTCTCTGAGTCCCTGCATCACTTTTCGCTACGCTTTCATCCTGGCAAGACGCTGCTGCAATTATCTACGCTCGCTTCTACCACCATAGTAATAAAAATGTAAATGTTCTGGAAATAGGCACGATTGCAGTGCCAAGTGAACTATGGCCACAAATGTGAATGTAAATAAAAAAAGGAAATTAATCCGGTTCGACTTGTTCCTCTTTAATATGGATCAAGTATCTACGCTAAACAATATTGCTACGCTTCTACGTCTCTTACGTCGGTGCTTCCAAAATTGTGCTATCATTACATATATATGTACTTGACGTATTGTAATCGCGAAAAATTTCGGATTTCAGATTTCAATGAAAATGTTCATTTTGCTCGACTTCCTGAATCCATTTCTACTATTTTTAGAACGTTTAGCTTTTATGTATGGTACTACCATAACATCTAGTTGTGCACTTCCCTTTTTTATTGCAATCATCAGAACTAAATACACACACACATATATATATATATATAATGATAGCACAAATTTTGGAAGCACTGGATGTAAGAACACTACGACGTAGAAGATGCAGAAAAGAGAAATGCTGATGTCGTAGATACTGTTACGTTTTTCTTCTCTGACACCAGTTATTTCTTATATTAGACGTAATTTTCCTCCTTCACGTTCGTACGGGGTTCGTAGATTTGGATTGAATAAGGACGACACTTGATGAAGTTTAGTTTAGTTTAGTTTACGAGTATGGTGCAACTCTCCTGGCCGACAATAATCGGCCTCATGGTTAACGCAGCCCACCCGACGCAGACAAATAACAACAACAATAAAAAAACAATAATAATAAAATAAATAAATAAGTAAGTAAAAGATTAAAATATTTAAAGTAATAGTCCTATCATAGTCTTGTTTTCATTCACAATCCTCATGATTTCTGTTGCATAGCTATTCAAGAATTTTCTTTCTTTAATTACATTTTGTTCATTTATTTTTCCAAATCTCGTCCTCACACTCTCGATCAGTTTACATTCTTCCATAAAATGAGCTGCGTTTCTGCACTTCCGACAAGCCAAGCATTGATCATTGCCCTGGAGATTTAAACGTTTTAAATAGGCCGGGAATCTAACATGATCCGTGATAACTTGAATAGTATCTATATTATTAAATAGATCCATTTTTCTTTTTATGATCAAAATCCTCAAGTAACCCTTATTTTTATTTGAACCATTCCATTCCCGAGCTCATTTCTCAATTATAATTGCTTTCATTTTTCTCAAGGTAATTCTTTTGGAATCATTAATAGCTTCTGTTGACGCCAGAGACGCCATCTGTGAAAAATATGTAATATTTGTGTTCTAAAACCATGACGCTGATGTTTTTATAGCGCCACCTTGCGGCCACTTGTATTGAGTTTTGAGTGTGTTCTGAGACGCCGCCGAGAGATGTGAACTAACTATGCGGCTTTTTGAGTAATTAATAAATTTTAGTATACAGTCCATTTTTGAGTTTTGTGTAAAGTGATTTATTTAATTATGAGTTTTACTGAGCTATTGACGGGCCCATTATTGGTCCGTCGAGCCGGAGCTCGAATTGTGTGTCAAAGTCGGAAGGAAAGTGTTATAGAAGAAAACTTGTGGATTACTCTTAAATAGAAGGTACGTGGCCTTAATTGTAATAACTGTGTAATTGAAA